TTTATGTTATGGAGCCGCACTCACGAAGTATCCGGTTTATTGTCCGTTTTGTTGGAGAAGTGCCGAAAAGCTTCGTCAGCCAAACTCTTCCAGCTGTGCAGCGCTCTCTCCAGCTCTAACCAATCAGAGACGGCCATCTTTTCGGGATCTTCAATCACCGTGGCAAGTTTGGATCCCCATGACTCCATCAGACCGAGCAGTGACATCACATTTCCATGGAGCCCTGCAGCAGCATCGTTCAGTAGTCTATCCATATTTCAAGAATGATTAAGCCGTGTCATTTCCTCACCATTGTCTCCATTCACTTGAACGTCCAGCTCTCTGAGGAGCTCGCACAGCTCGTTGTCCAGTTCTGTCTGGGCGTGCTGGCCTTCAGGAGGTCCCCCGTCAGCTGAAGGGTGTCTACTAAAGAGCTGCAGGCTCATATTCAGCCATCTTTCCTGGATATCACCAAGTTCACCAAGTGTCTGCTGGCAGTTCAGCTGTTTCTCGCCTTGGTAGTGTTCACACAGCAGTGCTAACATCTAGACAAAACAAATGTTTCCCGGTGTTTAATCATGTGGCGTCATCGCCTCTACGTCACCGCTCACAAACACCTGTGCAGACGACTCTGGTTTGTTCATCTCCAATTAAAAAACTATGACAAAGGTGAGACACACAAGCCTTACATTTGACCACTGCTGCAAATCGGCATGAATCTCTTCCACTGATGTTTTGTCATATTTGGGTTCAGGAAGCCTTGAGAGAGGAGGAAACGTAGCGTTGGAGAATCACACAGTGACTGTAAGGTGTCAGGGAAAGTTGCACGGGGGGGGGGTTTAACTGTCCTTACTTATTATCTGAGGAGCAGAAGGAAAGCCACTTGTTGATGCCTTGCTGGATGGCACTGATCTGTGCACAGTGGGCGTGTTCAGTCTGCTTCAGCTGGGCCATGAAAGCAGCCAGCTGCTTCCTCCAGTAGTCTGTGCTCTCCATGATGATGTTAATGCACTCTGTGTCCTGCAGCAGGAGGGTCGCTGTTACAGCCGCAGTCTAACTGAACCAGCAGGGCTACTTATAAAAGTAAAGATTCACATTTTTACCTTAGATGTGAGGAACAGGATGCAGTGCTCTGCGGTCTTGAACCAGCTCTGCTCACTGATATGCAGCTGACTAACCAGATGCAGCTTCTTCACACTGATCACCTGACAGAAATAAAAAGCTTCATATTACTGCTGTTTCTGACTTTGTGTCTTTGAGCACTTTAAATATTAGAGTCTGAGTGATAAAC